TGGAATAACTTCTTTAAAGTTTAAACAAATGCATTGACTTGGAAGTCATTACCAACTGGAGAGAGAGAGAGAGAGAGAGATTGGAATAACTTCTTTAAAGTTTAAACAAATGCATTGACTTGGAAGTCATTACCAACTGTTTATTTTTTTTTAGAAGGACGGCATCGATTAATAATCAAACGTTAAAATTCGTACAAATACAATAATAATGTGATATATGTCAGGATTGAATAGTTTTTTAATAAAGTATTTTTCTTTTTTCAAAGAAAACCCAACTCAATGTTCCGAATTTAAGTACACGTAAGATTTTTCATTTATAATTAAATTGATCGATTTTTCATTTGTTATATAATACACAATTATTTAATTATAATTAACTTTTAGGAGAGAATGTTCCTTGCCGGTCAAGCACGCCAGGCTCTTTACAATTAACCCTTTGCTATTCTATTTTAGACTTGGACCACTTCAAACATTACATTGTAACTTTGTTTTTCTTCATACTTTCATGGATTTTTTCATCTTCTTCACAATTTTCTCCTATGTTTTTCTAGTTACAGAAGCTCACGAACCTAATAATCCGTCGTCTATCATCAGTGTCCAAGATTTCCCTGGAATTCGGTACCCATCCCGTATCCATGGCGAGCATTGTGTTCGTCCTGGTTTCGAGCTATCTTTCAAACAAAACAAAACATTTATTCATTTTCCAACTTATGGTGATCTAATTGTCAAGTCCACTAATTGGGATACCAGAAAAGTTGACCTTATTGATCCCAAAAACTGTGTCCCTGAAGTTTTCTTGAATCTGAATCTTTCTTGCACTCCATTCAGTTACTACTATGTTCTGAAAGAGTACAAATACATCAATTGTTCGTCCCAGCTTTCGACTTCTTTTCTGCAAGTCCCATGTCTCAGTGGATCGAACCATCACGTCTACGTCGTAGAACCATCGTTTTCCCCTCCGGTTTCGTGCGATTCTGTGAAAACTATTGCAATCCCATTTTCATATAGTCCATATCTGTCTGATAATAGCTTTGGACTCTCATTAACATGGAACTTGACTGGTGATTGTGATGATGCTGGAATAAGATGCCAATCTGAAACACTGCATAAGAAAGAATCTTTCGACGACGTTGCAAATTATAAAGGTAAGCCCTCTTCTTAAATCCTCCGAGTTTGTCTAATCGAGTCTGTAAGATCAGATCATAGTATGAGTTCAATTCTCGAAATTCACCTATTTATAAATTTTGAGTTCAAGACTATTAATTCCCAAATTGCATGACTATCTGATGGTCAAAATAGTTACACAGCATGTACACATTTATGTTTGTAATGATGATCTTGTATAGATGTGTGCATAATCTCAAATACATAATAGAGGTAAGCCATTTTGTTAGATAATTTTGCCCACCTATTTGATAGATACATCGTTGACAGCAGATGATTAGATGCAAAAATTGACTGCTTTTTAAACAATTCAATGATAGAGTGCAACATTCTATCAAGTAAGTAGGCAAAATATTTTTGACAATGTAGCATGATTGTACCTAATATAATTCCGATCTTTATTTGTGGTTGTACTTTGTGCAGTTTTAGGCGTTCTTGCATTCATTTTCTTGGGTGTGGCACTGTTGTATACAAAGATGGCTTTCCATAAAGCATTTGATTTGATGAAAGAAAAGGAGAGGTTAGGTGAAATCAAGATTGGCAAAGTACTGGAAGAATATGTAGCCCTGAATCCTCCATTACATCAGGATACGAAGGGTATGCACGACTATGTATGACTACACAAGATTAAGGAAATCCGTAATATCGTAAAATTATAAGTAATCATATTTACTAGTACTTGATGTATAAGAAAAGAAATTAAAATTTTGTGTACTTTATTGTTTATTACCACGATAACTACTGTTTTGAGTATGTTCTAGTGATGTCAAAATGTGTCGACTTACATGCACGTGAAAGACACGGATCAAACCTGACCAATCTGTGAAGGCTAGTGGTCCACACGGGCCAGTCCGATATTGGTTTTATAATATTTTGTGTAGAGAAACAGGTAATTTTCTGCCAGCAAGATCATTTACTTGTTAATTCAAAATTTGAACATACACCATATGCTAACTTAACTCGGTGCTGGAGGGCAAATTGGCTGTGCACACAGAATTGAACCATTGCTTAATGAAACGGTTTAAGCAACAGTATTTTCAGAAAGAAACGCATCTCAATTTACGAAGGGAACATTACAGATCTCTCGAGACGAGTGTTTTGTTCAATATACAGAGCCTAGATATTTACAAGAACATACAAACGACATATCTACAGTTAAACTTCCTAGTTGCTTCCATTAACTACACAACCACCATCACTAGATAGCTTCTTGCTTGAAATCTTTTGACGAGAATTCCAAATAAACCACAGTCCGGAGAGTCTGGCCAAAGCTGCGTCACCTGCAACTTTAACTCGGTATATTAAATTCACATCTGCCCATATCTCATTTCCAGCAATGCCAGACTCGTTTCCTGGAACATATCCATCGACATCTGTTTCCGTGACGACAACTACAGAGCCATCGTCAAATGCAAAGAGATCTTGCTTTGCCAAGAACCTTGGACTTAGGGATAGACCAGTCAACTGGCTTGAGCTATTAGCCTTCATCTTGAGATGGTAAAATTCTTGGACAGCCTGCAATCGGCATACATTGCTCTTAGCACTGAAGCTATCAAGCCTTGTGTATTACAAGGGCAGGCTAACAAACCACAAAATTTGGGATTCAAACAATATGTGAATAAAATGATAAATTTTCTAACAGGGCAGCTGAATTCAAAGTCAACTGTATCGACCAGTACAGATCAATAACTTCCATCAAGGCAAATTAAAAAAATCAGAAAATCCAAACAAACCTTCCACTGGGAAGATGCTAAGAGGACCCTAGGTCGTATTGACTTCACATAATCATATGCAGCATCAGGCTTCATCTGCCTATACCTCACCTACACATAAAGAAATATTTTATGAGAACAGGAAACAGAAAAGATCTTTATAACTAGATTTCTTAGCTAACTCACTAGATAACAGATGACAACGGTAGTGCTGCGTCCCCGACCAGCCTTACAGTGGATGTATGTACTTCGCTTCTGGGATGCATTTTCTTTAACAGAAAACAAAAATAATAAGATTAAAGAAAAATATACAATTTGCAAATAAATTAACCAAAATAAATTGACAAATCACCACTCGTTTTCCAAGTTTATGAACACCAGGCAAGCAGCACTACAAATATCTTCAAAGATAAACATCTATAGGAACTTTAGTCTTCGATTGCAGTAAAACTGTCAACCTGCCCTGAACCATCCAACTATTCATAATGTAAAGCAACTACATCTTAAGCATTTCTTTACTTTCCGTGCATAATCATCATTTGAACGCAATATTATGAAGATTAAGACCAAATACAAACTTCATATTCAAGAAAGCCTTTGGCATAAGCAGATGCACACTGACTTGTACTATAGCTTTCTAACTCCATTAACCAGAATACCAATTAGGCACATACTCAAACAGTACTGTTTAAAGAGAAAAATAAACAAGCGCCAGAAATTGAGGATGGTAAAAATGAAGCGTTAAATCATTCAATTTACACGGGTTACACAATATGATAAACTAATACCAAAAGAGAATATTTACCGTGAATGAAATCTACAGCTTGGCATATATTGACTATGGATGGAGCAAAGAGGTAATCTCTCGTGGGAAGCACCAAATGATGGATACCATAAGCCTAATAAAATGTACTCGACTTGTCAGGAAGCAAAAAATAATAACAAAACCTCCAAAAGTGTAAAATGATTCAAAAATGTAATAAATAATGTTATAAAGATAATAGCTGTAGTGAAAAGAATAGAAAACAACTTCAAAAATTATAGCCCTTCTTATAGCAGTTAGGTATTACACACATCAACCATTCAAGACTTCAGTCGTATAACTCAAAAACAAAAATAAAAGATAAAAAAAATGTTGCATTATTTCATTTTAGTTATAGGAGAAAATTACATGATAAAACAAAATCAAATAACTGAAAAGTGTCAGTGCAGAAATGATGCAGGAGCTTTAGTTAATATCAAGCCTTTAATAATTTAAGTCCATAAATATATTACTTTCTCAACAAACTCACAAGTGATAACCAAAACAAATTCGCATAACAATACTACTTACAGTAATTGAACATGGCACACTCCAATATTTGTGAAAATAACTGGGCAGAAATTCTCCCTAAAAAGTTTTTACTGTAAAAACTTTAATCAGATTCATACCACATTCTGGCTATAACTAGTATAGAATTAGTTGCATTTCCAAGTCTTGTATGTCATTTTTTTTAACTTCAGATCAGTAAAAGGTTTCAAAAATTTATTAAATCCATCCACCATGGTGCCAGAGTTTTCCAGGAGCCCATCATAGTATAAAACGACGTTAAAGTAGTGGAACTGAAAGGGAGAACTCACTTTATATAGAGATGATGGAACTAAAGTCTCATATGACTCATTCAAGGTGACAACTCCAGAAACGCCGAGCTCCTTTAGCCTATGAACATCAGATGGGAATGGGACAGCACCTAATAATACAAACTTAATATGGAAAAATGAAATTAGTTGGTGTTTAAAGACGAATTAAATAAGTATTCACAAAACGAAATATGGCAAATCAAAATTTAAGTTTTCAACAAACTTAATTCCAAAACTAAGAATAATTAATTTACTTCTACAACCGAAAAATGAAAATTAACACTTGACTTGACTCTATATGCATTGTTAGCACACACTATACTTCCTACAAGCTTTAAGAAATGCTTATCATATTCTTAGCCATATATTAAAGAAAAATAATTTCAACGTTACCAAACAAAAGGGCAGGATCCTTTTGCTTTAATTAACAGCCATTAGAATCGAATTATCAAACCTCGCTCTAAATTCAACAAAATCTGTGGATTAACTCCAAATAAGGCAAAAGAAAACAAGGCACAAAATTAACATTTCTTTCCACCAAGGCACTAACTAGTAACTTCTACATTTGTTTAACCAATATAAAAAAATAAAAATAAAATAAAAAAGCAATCCTACTAAGTGTAAACTATGATCTCAAGCTTCTCGATACTGATCATTCTCAAGCAGGTATTAATAAGTTGCAAAGAGTCATCTGGCACTATTTAACAAACACGATGGCATAAAATCCACATTTGCATTCCAAAGAAACAAGCAAATGACTGTGCAGACATGAAATTATACCTCATCAATCCAATCCCACCACCGGAACTCGGCCTGAATCTTATTCCTGAGAACATTATAAAGCAACGTCGGGTAAAAGAGCGCTCGCGCCCCAGCTCCAACCAGAACTCTCTTCGCATTCCGAGACACCACCATGTCCCCATCAGTTTTAAACAACACCTTACCACCACCCGATAATTCCCCCTGTTCTTCCTCCTTTAAATCCTCTATATGCATAGTTTTTACCCTAATTATTCAATCACAAATACGCCCCCAATTCAAAGAACATAGAAAAAATTATCTCCAAACGGGAAATTAACAAATCAAATTTGAATTGACAATAATCACCTCTACACATATAAACGTACATATATCATAGTATCATAATCAAAATTTATCGGTTGATATGGCTCGAACGAAAAGGAAATTAAAATTAAAATAAAAAATTTTGAAACATATTTTAGGAAAGACGTATTGATCGGCTTTAAGAAGGTGGAGAAGATGATGGTTGAGCCTCAATTTTGAGGAAATTGGGAATTGAATCAGAGAATCTTAGGAATCCTAGATTGTACTCAATTGGCAATTCTCGATTTGGATTGAAATGGTAAAAATAACAAGAAAAAGAACATTTATGGTCACCGACTCACCGGTAGATAACGTAAAGTGTGAAATTCATAAATAAATTCAATTTATTTTCTCTTTTTATCAGAACATTTTCTCTTTTTATATTCAGATACAAAGAAAGTAACAGCTATGGCAATCGGACAATGATAATTAATTGTCAATATTTTCCATAAAATTTCCTACTTTTGCACGTTTTGGTTGACAATTTTTCTACAAAAAATATTTTTCTATTTGTCTATCTTTCTCTCTCATCTACCCACTAATAAAAAATGAACAAGTATAATATTTTTTAGGTCGAAAATTAAATCAGTAAAACAAATTTAATTAATAATTTTCATTATTTAAAATTTATTCTAAATTACATACTCGCAATCAAACTTACCCTAAAATGTTTTTGGGAAATCTAAAAAGTAACTTATAAATTATTTTTCTCAGTCAAAACTTTAATTTTATTCATACATTGTTTTTATTAAAATGTTCACATAATGTCACTCAAACACCTAAATTTTGCTTCTAATGAAATAAGACGAAATTTTCTTCAATTTAGTTGCATTTTAAAGTTGTTTTCTTTAATAATAAATTAATACTCAAAAGTTTTGAGCATACATAAATTTAAATATGCATGCTAGTGAAAATTTGAACTTAAAAACGATAATAAACGATTTAAATTTTTTAAAATTAATTATATAATTATAATTTAAATATTAACAAATGCAAATTTATCAATAAAATTTTATATTTATAAATTTATAAACTAAAAACAAGATAATAAATATAAACATGTACTTTTACAAATAAAGTAAAATTTAGCTAAAGAATATATTACGATAGTTCATTAAAACATTATATACATTCACAAAAAATTACTAAACGAGGACCATGTTGCATAGTAGAATGCTATGTTAATCACCCTACACGATATTAAGCCTCTGGATATTAAAATAAAATTTTTAATAAATTTTGATAAAAAATGATGAAATGTATTGCTGAAAAATTGTGGATATTACGAAATATGTTGTTAAAATTAATTATTGACTTTTATATTAAAATTTAGATTTTAATTTCACTGAACAGGGGTAAATATCTTTCTCGTGGTTGATTATCCTAGATATTAATTATATATTATTAGAAGCATCAACAAACAATTGATAACAATTTACATCTTATAATTCTCTTTGCCACCAATAATCTTGTAATGGAGAAAAACTAAGTAGTGATAATTAGTCTAGTATCGTCTCGTCTCGACTAAAACAAAATCCAATGAGACCCTTCATTTCAAAATCATAGACCTCTATCGAACGGGACCAAACAAGGCATACATGGCAAGATAGAGGCTCATCCCGTCAACCGATGTGTCAATGAGAAAATCATTGTCGAGTGCGTAGCACATCGAATGGCCGGTGTGGAATGGCAGCAGCCCAAGGGTTGAATGTGATTGGACGAGATTGAACTGGACCTACATGGCACGGTAAAGGCTCGACCGATGTAGATAATTGGGCCGCTGGTGACGGGTTTGGTGGGACCGCGACACGCTCACATGAAGGACACATGGTGAGCGTTGTTGGAGGGGTCATTTGCATGTACATCTGTGGTGACAGTTTAAGGGCCCTTAGTTCTTGCACCTCCTTTTGTAACCTCCTGTTCTGTTCTGTCAAATTCTCACAACACCTCTTCAAGAACTCACAGTCGACTTCAGTTTGCTTCAATTTTGTCCTGTAAAAATGATTGTATAAGCAGTTCGTTAGCCAAGCCAATAAGTATGATTAATTTGATATCATATAGTCCTAATCTTGATTAATTTTGGGTTCACCGTTGTTCAAATCAAATCCCTCTGGCCAAGTCTATTAACTTTGACAAATGAATCGAAGACGTTTCATAGGATACACAACTTATTATTCACAAATTTCTCGAAATCCACAAAGCAAGGACGAAGAAAATGGCTCACCTTGCTCTTCTGTTCTGAAACCACACTTCCACCTGCCTAGGCCTCAGCCCCAATCTCTTAGACAAAGCAACCTTTTGCTTCTGCAAAATACCACAAAAAAAAAAAAGGGTTAAAATCTTGTACATCATTCAGTGAGTCTTATCTAGTACTGGATATGAAACATGCACTTACGGGATTCAAAGTGTTGTGTTCTTTGAAGCTTTCTTCAAGAATGGCAGATTGGTCTTTTGAAAGCCTGAGCTTTTTTCGGGATCCGTCACCATCTTCCTCATCGCTGATGCCTCGAGAGCAGTCCCTTTCGAGTTCGAGCTCATCGCTGCCGGTGGGTTCTCTTTCGCTCCGTTTCCCACTCACGCTTGAGATTGTGCTGTTCGGTGAAGACACTCCGGCCTCCTCCTCCAAGTCCGCCGCCGTAGGCAGGCGGTTAACGTCAATACCCTTCAGAAACGTCCTGGTTTCTCGATCTGCAACAAAAAAAATTGTGGGATCTGAGTTTCCAGAACCAAAAAGAGCATTTGTATACTCTTTATCTTCTTTTTTTCATGATCAAAAGTTCGAATAAAAAAGGAGTTTTGAGGGGGGGAAAGTAGATTAAAAAAGTGAGAGTTTAGATGAAGAACCCACCTGAGGAAGGCCAAGACGGAGAAGATGAGATCAAAGGAGGCATAAGATTCAGCTGGAGTGAAGTATTAGAACTAGAAGAATTCCAGTTTTCTGCTGGGAAATTCAAGCTTAGACTCAAACCCAAATCTTCTTTGTCCAAAATCATTTTCCTAAAAGAAACAAAACCCAGTTTCTTGATTTTCTTGATCTGTTTTCTTGAGTTCCTGGCTGGAACTGAAGTTAAAGCCTTGATTCAATTGATGAATGCAGATTGGCATGTGGGGATGCAATAAAGGTTATTATATAGGGGGAAAAATTATGAAGGGTAGAGGTGGGAGTTATGATGGGGTTGATCAGAGTTTGTCAAGTATCTCAATGATGGATATTGTCTCCCTTTAACATTACTCAATTATTTATTTGACTACTTTTCTCTCTCTGGTGATCTCTCTCTCTCTCTCATCCACACACATTTAACTATCATAATTATTATTTTTGACTAATGATAAATAGATGGGTCATTGCATTGAAGTCATATGTTAACTGAGGAGCTCAGTTATGGCTTGGAAGTGAAGCTGCCAAAGGCATATACTATGGGGTTTAGAAGGGTAATTCTCATAAGTTGGAGATCACTAGTGTAATTTTCTCTAATTTAATTTGTTAAAATTGCCCAACAGACGACTGCGAACCTATAATTCGTAGTTATCAAACCCAACCCAAGGAACGACCAACCAAGGTATTGGATCAGTCGACGAGTCATTGTTGTAAAAAGTTTCAAGTATAAAATTTTCTCTGAGGTAATATTGATTCAATTTTCAAGTATAAATTATAGTAACGATGTTTGACTAACGTTTATACATTATCAAATCACTCTGTATCCACACATAAATTTGGGGGTTATCTTCTCTAGTTGGTTTTGCGAACTGTTTGAATTTTCTCCACTTTTCTAGTTCACAAATCTTTGAGCCCATTTGATAGGGATTAAAATTAAACTTTTAGTAATTTTTGATAGAAATGGATAAAATGCGTGGTTGAAAAGTGTGAGATTCATAAAATATGTGATTAAAATTAATTGTTAGTTTTAACTTGAATTAAAATCTATATTTTAATTGGTACTTCTTCTCTGCTCAATTATCCAATGATGGTAGTAGAGTATGTTTATCAATGGCAGACGGGGAGTCTAGTAGTGCCAGTCAAATAGACGAAGACGATTCATCTTTTTTTTTATTTACACTTTTCTTTACGTTTAATCAATCAATTTCAATTGGAGACTGAAGTAAAACAAGCAGTATAGTATGAGGACTGTAATTGCAAATTTCCCTTACTAAATTATTGGTCTAAAGTCACGTCAGTTAGGCTTTGGGCAACAATCATTTATATTATATGATTCATGAATGGATGATTCTTGTTCAATCAGGTAACATCACAATTTCCTCTATAGCACCCTAACCTAACCCACCCCACCCCCAAACAGCCCACGCCACCTCTTCTGATTTGAAACCTTTGTCATGTGATTGTCACGCGGGAGGATATTTATAAAGCTGTCACTTTCTTATCCTTTTTATTCGATTTTATAGCATGATAATATGCTTCTTTAAAGTCACCCTTTTATCCAGTTTTTATGGTTAAAAGACTTTCTCAAGATTTCCATTCAAATTAAAACTAAGCTCTATTTGTGACACACATGTAAATCAAGCAAGTCGAGCACAAAGCAACAATGTTTAGCATTTGTTGACATTTTTAAGTTTAATCAATTGCTACGCGAAAACCTAAGTGCATACACCTCATGAGTGTAGAGCAGTGAACTGATACGTCTAAGGTAAAATGAGCTCATAAAATTAGACAATTAGATAGAAGAATAATTAATGCATACTAAATATATAGTTAGTGCTCAAAGAAGTAATATAAGTTAAATTAAAGTAAGTGTAATATTGTCATCTCACAAAGTTTATGATAGTACAAATAAGAGAAAATGCGTTGTCTCAATACAATAAATTGAAGTATTTTTTTTAATTATAAAGCTCATTTTGACAAATATATTATACAAAATTTAATCCATAACTCCGTGAAAATTGTAGAAACTGGGTTGCTGAATTTTGTGAAACCCAAATATTTGGACTATCTGCTACAGGTTTCTGTTGTCATTATGGCTGAAACCGATGGTATAATAAGCTGAAGGATCTGGAATTATGGTAAACGTGCTTTTAAATTGAAAATGCATATTTGTTGGATTACTGACATGTGGCTAATTTTGCTTCGTTGGATGATACAATTGGCTCTGTTTCATATAAATAGGAGGCTTATGACTTTAGGGTTTCATTCTGAAACCGTAGTGGTTTCTCTCTCGTTCGTTCATCTTCTATGTTTGTTCTTGGTGATGATTTTCTCTGTAAATACTTAGTGTTATTGTGAGGGAGAAGAAAAACATTAGTATTTCTCTTGTGTAAGTTCATACTGTTTTGAGAAGATTTTGTAAGTGTGAGAGTTCTTAGAGCTTGGCATTCTTGTTATCGAAACTTTGCCCATTTTGGACGGTGCTAGTGAATTCGAGCTTAATCTTAACGAAAGTTCAACGAGGGACTAAGAGTTTGAAGCGGTCACCGAACCCCCGGGGCCTTTGGCCAAAAAAATCTTCATGTACTTTTACTTTACTTACTAATTGTTTAAGGTTTTAAATTTAAAACGTTGAGTTAAAAAGTTAAACTTAAATCTGGGACTAACGGTGGTATTAGAGCTTGAAATATTTTGATTCTTACTTCAAATGTGTTTTTTAAAACCATCGATTTGGTTTTGGCTGACTCTTCCGTTTTAAAATAAACGATCTGAGACGATCTGTTGAAATTTTTCAAGAAACTTCTTTCGATTTGAACCTGAAGTCCATTCTTGGTACCATTGAGTATCTCTTTTATGTTCGCAGTTTTGGTTACGAATTTTTAACCATTCTTTAAGAATCTGTTAAACGTTCTTGAAACAAAGGATGGATGTCAAAGGAGAGTTTTGTCTTTAGCGCTAGACAATTGAAGCTCTTATGCTACAGTTGAAATGTGCAAAATTTGGCCAAAAAAACCTAGCTACGATAGGAAAATCGAAACAAGATGAATTAGCTTGGAGTAATATGTTCCTCAAACTATTTGACTAAGTAATTAGGAATGTAGGGGAGACTAAAACTGTTGTAGAATTTTGGACTGCTTTAGAGAAATAGTATCTCACTAAGACTCTACCAAATATGTGTTTTCTTTGGAGACAATTTTTTTAGTTTTAAGTTTGATCCTAGTATTAACTCGGAAGAAAACATGGACAGATTTAATAGGATCACTTAGGACCTGATAAACTGCGGTGAAAAGATCTCTGATGAGCAAAAAATGGTTGGTCTACTTAATGCACTAGAAGAGATATAAAGACATAAGAAATGCTTTAGAATACGGTAGAAGTGACTTGACTGTATATATAATTCACAGCTCTCTTTTGAACAAAGAATTGGAATTGACATCTGAACATAAAGAGGTTTTTCATGTTGAGAATATCTCATTCAATCAAAAACCTCAAGTTAAGGGTGTGAGTAATTTTAGTCAATCCAATTATAATAAGGACAAGAACCTTATTAAGAAGAAATCTGATAATAACAAAGGGAAAGACAAAAAGGCTAATAAAGGAAAAGCAAAGAACAAAAAATGCTACTATTGTGGAAAACCATGTCATTTTATTAAAGATTGGTAAAAAAAATGTTTAAAATTCCTTTCATATCAAGAGGTTTTTGGAAAGGACAATGTTCATTCAAAAATTAACCTTTTTTGAACATTTTATAATGGCGAAACAAGTTAGATTGCCTTTTAAGGCAGGCATTCATAAGTCTCAAAATATGCTAGAATATATACATAGTGACTTATGGGGGAATGCCTCTGTATCTATAGTATCGGCTATAGATATTATCTTTTTACAGTTGATGATTACTCAAGGAAAGTTGGATTTTCTTGCTAAAATCTAAATATAATACCTTCACAATCTTTAGAGAGTGGAATACATTAATTGAAAATCAAATTGGTAAGAAGATTAAAATTTTAAGAACTGACAGTGGGCTTGAATTCTGCAATACTGGATTTGATCAATATTGTAGCAAACGTGAAATTCTAAGATTTAGAATTGTGACATGTACTTCTCAACAAAATGAAATTGTTGAAAGAATGAATATAACATTCTTGAAATGACAAAATGCATGCTAATTAGTTCAGGCTTTCCAAAAATATTATGGGGTGAGGCAATGAAAACACTTGCCATCTAATAAATAGATGTCCCTCCAGCTCCTTAAATAATAAAGTTCATGAGCAGGTTTGGTCAGAATCAATGCCTGATTATTCCTATATCAGAACCTTTGGATGTGCAGCTTATGCACATCAAAGTAACTCTAAACTGGACCCCAGATCATTGAAGTGTGTTTTCTTAGGATATAGTGAAGGATTTAAAGGATATAGACTGTGGTTAAGGGATGTTGGAGGTTATAAAGTGATAATAAGTAGATCTGTGTTTTTAATGAAAATGATTTTCCATGTCTTAGTGACAAAACTGGAGAAAATATAGCTAATGATGAATTCATTATTACAGAGATTAACCTTGATAAGCAAGATATTGGTGAACAGACTTAGTTTGAGGTGGAGCCACTTCAAACAGAACGACAAATCATTGCAGATGATGAAAATCCGAATGATAATCATGACTTGAATCCTGCACATGACCTGTAGGATTATCGACTTGCTAGGGATCTAGAAAGGAGACAAATAAGACCTCCTTCTAGATTTTCATATGTAGATTATGTATTTGCCCAGTTTGAATCTGATCCCTCTATATATCTTGGTCAAAGAATACTTCTTCAACATGGGACATTCCTTAGGAGGTTAATCTAACGTTGTTACCTTCTACTTTACCTAAGGAATGTACTCTTACTTTGTACCTTAAATCATCTTTTTGGATTTTTGATGTTTGAGATTGACTGCAAATGGGTTTACAAGATTAAAAGGAGAGTGAGTTAAAATCAAATGACAAGAGATATAAGGTAAGACTTGTAGCAAAAAATTTTATACAAAGAGAAGGAATAGACTATACTAAAAAAATTTCACAAGTTGTGAAATATACCTCTATTAAAGTATTGCTTGCCATTGTAACTCAATTTGACTT